TTTTTGACTGGATTATTTTCTTTGTTTTTGTTGAGTCTCATCAGCTCTTTGTAGATTTTTGTGAACAGTCCTTTATCATTAGTGTTGTGTGCAAAACTTTTCTCCCAGTCACCGGGGTTTCTCCTTGTTTTGGTTATTGTCTCTTTTGCTGTGCAGAAGCTCTTTAATTTGATGTAGTCCCAGCTGTTGATCTTTGCCTTCACTATCACTGCTTTGGGTGATGTGTCTGTAAAGATGTCTTTGAGGTACATGTCATGTAGTGTTTCACCTGTATTTCCTTCTATGTATTTTATGGTTTCAGGTTTTATGTCTAGTTCTTTAATCCATTTTGAGGTGGTTTTTGTGCATGGTGTGAAGTAGTAGTCAAGTTTCTTATAATGAAATATTTAAAACAGACAAGTCTACAGAAATACAAAAAATATGATTAACATCAGCTCTATCAAGTTGTAACTAACCAGCTTTATCAAGCTTTTTATTAATAGCTTTCTGTTTTTACTTCAGGTATTTTTAAAGATGTGGACTCCTTTCCCAAATCTTTTTTCTTCCTCTTTCTCCAGAGATAACTGCTTTTCTTTTCTTTCCCTGTACCTTTTTTTTCTTTTTTTAAAAAAAGATTTGTTTTTATTTATTTATGTACATAAAAACTGGAGTATGGCACAGAGGTGAGGGGATTGAGAGGATTCACCAGAGACAGAGTGGGGAGCAGAACAGGCGGATCTACTGAAATACACTGCTGAGGGGAGCAGAAAGCAAGACAGGAGAGGTCTGCAGTACCATGTGGGTCAGCTCTTTTGCCAGGGATCAAACTCATGGATCCAACTCATGCAGCAGTGGCTGCGGATAGCTTGATAGCACTGAGACTTTAACCCCTGTGCCACCAGGGAGGCCCCTTTCCCTGTATTTTTATTCCATATATATTGGAAGGGTAACAAATAGAGGATGTAAAATGAAAATATCCTTTTCTTTCCCCTTTTCCATTTCCCAGAAATAACAGCCCCTATTATGCATCTTGATTATAGCCACATGATAATCTTGTGCCTATCAAAACTAAGTGCTCTATATTCATTTTTTTCTACAAATGATCTAATAATTAACATTTTTCTTCTGAACCTTACAGTTTTCACTTATTGATTTACTTTTTCATATTAGAATATATAGATCAATGTCAACAGGCATGTAGTACTTTACTGCTAGATGTGCCATTTAGGAATTGATCAATCTCAGATTGATGGACATTTATTTAAATTTTTAAATTATAAAAATATTGTAGTAAATATTCCATATGCCTTTGTGTACTTGTGAAGGTATCTTTGTGGTTTACATTAAATGAAAAACATAGATCTGTGGATAAAACAACACAGTTGCTATTCTGGGGGCCAGTACCTTGGGTGCTTCTTCTAGATAGTGGGATATTGCAAAAAGTGATCTTCTATAAATTATGAGATACGAAGTTCCAATTCTGACTGCATCACTAACTGTGCCTTTGGGCAAATGATTAAATAAGTCCAGGATCCAAGACTTTCCTTTTGGCACTAAGGTCCATTCTAAGTAAAAAAGATCTGTAAACTTCAATTCCAATCTCATTAAATTTTTATTCCTGAATTTGTGACAACTTCAGGATTTAGGAAAATCGTAGCAAGTACTATGCTTTGAATAACATTTTTATTGTGTTACCTTTGGTTTACAAAATTATGTAAATTTTGGGAGTATGGCTTCACACCCTGATACGTGTACATACATGCAACATCCCACCATAGTTCTAGTGTCATTCGTCATTAGCAAATTGACTCCCTCTACCCATTCCTGCCCTTCCCTCTTCCCCTTACCCTCTGGTAAGTTCCATATTTTTCTCAGAGTTTAATAGTTATACTTGTTCTGATATTTAGTTCATTTTCTTTATTTACATTTCACATCAGAGTGTGATTTCCCAGTATTTGCCTTTCACTTTGATTTATTCTTAGCACAATCAACCTCATGTTCCATGTTGTCACAAAAGGCAAGATTTCTTCTTTTTAATAGTTGGATATATTCCATCAAGTATCTATCTCACGACTTCTTTCAAGGCATTTAGATGGTTTCCATGTCTTAGCTATTGTAAATTGGTCTGCAATGAACAGAGGGGTGCATTTATCTTTTTGAATTAGTGTTGTCATATATTTTGGATAAACGCCTAACTGGTATGCTGGATCATATGGTATTTCTATTTTCAGATTTTAAGAAATCTCCATACCCATTTCCATAAAGGCTGCATCAATTTACAGTTTTACCAATAGTGTATAAAGGTTTCTTTTTCTTTATACTTTACAAAACTTGTTTTCAATTTTTTTAAAAAAATATTTTTATTTATACATACAAGAACTGGGGTGTAGGTACTGGGAGGGATAAGAAGAGTCACCAGAGGCAGAGTGGGGAGCAGAACAGGCAGATCTACTGAAATACACTGCTGAGGGGAGCAGAGGGCAAGACAGGAGAGGTCTGCTGCGCCATGTGGTTTAGCTCCTTGGCCAGGGATTGAACTCATGCTGCAGTGGCTGATGATAGCTTATAGTGCTGAGACTTAATCTTTTGCACCAATACGGAGGACTTGTTTTCAATTTTTTGACATAGGTATTCTTACAGGTGTGAGATGATATAGTAGATTTGATTCGCATTTCCCAAGTAATAATTGATGTGTCAAGCATTTTTTCCATGTGCCCGTTGATCATCCGTATATTTTATTTAGAGAAATGGCTGTTCAAATCTTATGCCCGCTTTATTTATTTATTTTTTTGGTTGGGTTGTTTATTGTTTTGTTGGCTAATTATATGACTTTATATATTTTGGATATTAACCTCTTGTTGAACATATGATCTACAAATATTTTCTCCTGCACAGGCACCATTTTATGATAGATAACCCTGAACAAAGGTAAATCAGAATTTAAAATCCGTGATAAATATTTATGTGTAAACAAAGAAGAAAGAACTAGGAAATATGTTCCCAGTGGAGATAAATAAAAAAAAAAAGACATTTATTTTCATGTTTGAATTATATTTAGGAAAAATTGAGTTTGGGATGAATGAGTCCTCTATCATTTCAACAAAAGTACTTTTGTTGCACTTAATTACATCACATATTCTTAGAAATTCACACCTGTGAGAAAATTAGCTTGATTCCTAAGAGTGTATTTTTTTTTTTTCAGTCCAGAACCTTTGAATTGTGTAGCTACTACCCCCTAGTGGTGAGCAAAAGCTAACTCCAGCCAAGACATTTAACGTTTTCTTGATTGGAGAAAGAACAAAATATCCTTGTAAATATGGACAGATACGGTTATTTATTTAACACGAAAATTTACGAAATTCTTACTATGCTGTGGAAACTGAGATAGGTGCTGGGAAATACATATTTCTTGTTCTTGGAAAATAGATCTACATTTAAACTTGAATACAATGTGAGAAGAACTAAAACCAAAGAATAAAAACTGTTGCAGGACTCTAGAGAAAGGAATTACTAGTTCTATTTAGGGAAGTTAAGGATATTCTCAGAGAAATTGACATTTAAATTGTGTCTAAACTTATTTGCCAAGGGATGAATGGGAAGGACATTTCAGCCTGTGCAAATATATTTAGCATGAACAAAAGTGGTGTGTTTGGAAAAACTATGGCAACGTGATCACTTAAGCTATAGACGATATTGGGAGTAAGAGAGGGTTAAAGAGAGGGGAAGGGGTGTGAGAGAAATGTTTCTAAGTGAGCGTGGAAGGAGAAATTGGGACGATAGTATGAATTATCTGACTAAAGACATTAGATTTTATTGTACAGCCAGTGGAGAGTTTATAGGATGACTCAGAAAAGCAGCATACAATGTATATAATGATCTTAGTATAAGATCTAATCATGAGACATAGTTTTTGGTCTGTCTTCATTACTTTTTTTTAACCTGCAAAATGGTGAGTAATCATTTCCTAATGATAGACATTCATGTTGTTTCCATCTTTCATGGAATTATAAATTCCATTGTAAACATTATTGTACCTACTTTTCGTGCATGTAAAAATTTCTCTACGGTATCAGTGAATATCCTAAATTGAATGTTATACTCAGTATTCTGATCAATTTTATTAAATTTCCTTTCAACAAAGTATACCAATTTATATTTCTGCCAACAGTATATGAGAGTATCCAATTCCCCACATCCTTGCCAGGGATAGATATTATAATGGCTTTTGACATTTGCTACATAGAGTAGACAAATTAGAGACAGGCTTTCAACCAGTCAATATAATGAAGTGTCATCATTGAAGTTGTAGTCAGACTGGAGTTCGTATCTCAGTTTTATCATTTGCTGTTGTGCTAATTAAATCATTTAACGTGATAGCGTTGTGGCAAGTTCATATTTGGAGTGTAGAGGAACATATTTATGGAGAGTTCACTGGGAGCAAATAGTGGCCCTAAATAGTTCATTATACTTTCTGGTTTTCTCAGTAATTGAACTGATCCCACATTATTTTCAACAGGAGTCGTTTTATAAATTCCAAGATAAAAGGGTACTATTAAGTGAATTAGGTTGGACATTTTTAAAATTTAGACTCTGGAGGGTTAAAAATCCACCATGTGTAGGACTGGATCATAAGTTTCCTGTAGGAATCCAAATGCGACTAATCACTGGAGGATATTCCATGCCTGCCAAGAAACTACGGTTAACAAGTGACGCTTGGAAGAAAAATTCGCCCGATTTCAAGATGGTCCTCGTCTCCCCAAGCACTGCGGGAACCTGCTGGTCCAAGATGGCGCTTTTCCTCATCACCTCCCGGGGATGGAGATTTCCATAACGTGAGTCACGCAAAGGAATTGCATTTTTGCCATTACTGAAGATGGCGAGCTTCACGACCTCACTTTGCCAGGTTTCAATATGGCTTCCTTAACATCCGCGTCTAGAGGTTAATTTTAGGAACGAAGCTAAACTCACGCGGAAGTAGCGTAAGCGGAAATTGTCTCGTCTCACAATGCCCCGCCTCTGTCCCGCCCCCGCTCCCTATGCTCCGCCTCTGGTGGCGCGGAGAGCAGAGCCAAGATGGCGGCCGAGTTGGAGTACGAGTCGGTGCTGTGTGTGAAACCTGACGTCAGCGTCTACCGGATTCCGCCCCGGGCCTCCAACCGCGGCTACAGGTACTAACTTCGAGGCACCGCAGCATACGCTTACCCGGTCGGGGATGACAGAGTCCTCCTCAGGTAGCACGCCGCCCGTCCCTGCCACTGCCACCTCCGAGTTGTCACCTTGCTAGCCTCCCCACCAGGGTGGTTAGTGCCCGGTCACCTGCTTTTCCCTCACTCCGGATTGCCGGGATTGCCGTTGTCGTTGTTTCCACCGCTTGAAAAAAATGACCATCCTGCATTCTCCCTCCCCTCCTCCCCCGGACCCCGCCGGGTTGCCCATCTGCTCCCTGTCATCCACATCCTGTCTTCCCTGCGTCCTTCACTGTGTCATCCTTAGTCCCCTCTCCCTTCTTGGTCGTTCACACACGTTTCCAGCACCCCCTGCACATTTGTGGATGATCATTGTGTTGTTGGCCACCCTCCGAATGATCTCATTAATCGTTTGTGCTGTTGTCAGTCTTGCCTTCAGGTATCACTTTTCCATTTGGTTTTCCCTTCAGTCGCTTGCCAGTGGGCAAAGGTTAGGACCACAGGTTTTCTAATGGTGGGTCATTCTGTTTCTTTTCAATGTATTTTCTTGATTATATAGTGTTCTTTTCCTTCCTTCGTCCGCTCTGAACCTCTTCTATAGATTTTCCGTCCGGATTTAACTCAGCATTTTCTCTGTAGGGCTAACTAACCATCTTGTGACTCTCAGGATCTGAGGATGTTATTTGATGCCATATAATCGAAAGACTTAACCAGTAACTTGGGTTACATTTTTAAAAATATGAGTATGAGCCCTGATAACCAAACAGCTTTATGATTTGGAACAAATCTCTTAACCTCATCAAACCTTAGTTTAAAAAGAAAAAAAGGAAGAAAGTTATTGGTGATGTGGTTATGATAATATAATTATCACATATGATAATAAAACCTATTCTAGTTATGTACCTCATAGGAGTTTTTTTTTGGGGGGGTTAAGTGAAATTACATAATAAATGTAAAAGAATTTAGGAAACCGAAAAACTGTATTTAAACACGATACTGCTTTTACTCCTCTCTGATCGAAATCGCCATCATGGCATTTATTGTTACCGAGGCTGAAAAGTCATCTTCTCCCATTGTCCATTATTTTGCTTCCTTAGCAGAAGTTTGTTCATCATGAATAAATATCTTTGTGCTTGGTTACCTGTGCTAATGGGTTGTACTTTTTGGTAAAGAGATAGTCCTAATTTCAAGCTTTCCTTCAGATCCCAAATTGAGCATGATAGGAATGTATATGTTTTTTGATAGTAGTTACAGGTATGTGTGTGACTCATCTGAGACAGCACCTTGTTTACGAAGCCCTCCTTGACCCTTTCATTTTGACTTAGGTATGCTCTGCCTGTTTCCATAGTACCCTACACTTGTCTCTGTCATGGTGCTCTTTATTCTGTATTGTAACTGATTGCTAGGTCTCTATTTCTTTTCACTAGATTAGGAGCAACTTGAGATTCTTTTAAACTTTATCTTCCCAGGTCTAGCACAGTGCCAGGCACATAGTGGGCACTTTGTAAATGTTGACTGAGAGAAGAAACTGGTAGATTACACTTACTCACATATATTAGTATTGACTGAACTGGTAAAGTAAGAAGAAATAACTCATGGCTTCTAACTCTAATAGTTAATTGATTGAACTGGTAAAAAAAGATGAATTCAAGACTTGTAGCTCAAGACTTCCTAAAGGATATGATACACACTGAAGTGGGATTCTGTTCTTTTCCTTCACTTCTGGCTTCCTTCTCTTCCTCATCTGCTTTCTCTGTCTTCACTCCCTAGTTTATATACAGCCTTTAAACTTGTGCCACTTAACTGCATGGAGCCATCAAAACAATTTCTTTTCTCATTATCCTGTGTTTTCCATGCCTATTATTGACATTTCTTATTCCACAAGAGGCATTTTTTAATCAATCACTCTTACAGTGAGAGAAGAGAGCAAAACTAAGTTTGAATTGTAATTCTCATTTATTTATCAAGATGCTTGATAAATATTACTTCTGTATCTTTTTGTCTGCATATTCGTTGTAGTTTACCAGAGCCTCTTTTACAATGTGAGCATGACATATTTGCCAAATTGCCATTAAAGGAAAGACTGGACTTTTAGGAAGCAGGAAAAACCCTCACTTTGAGTGACTAATAAGGTCAAAGGACATAAATGACTTTGATTCATCCTGGTGTAAGCTGTTGCTTCTCAGACTTGCACTGACCAGACATACAGAAGGAAAATTTAGGTTGATCAGAAACTTATAATGATTAGGAAATGATTTTCCAACCTATAAAACTTTATTCATCACTATCTTCTTCCCTATCTAAATCAATATTAAACTCCATAGTATGTTTTTTTTTTTTTTAAGATTTATTTATTTATGCATACAAGAGCTGGGGTATAGGCCAGAGGTGCGAGGTTGATGAGAGGATTCACTAGAGACAGAATGGGAAGCAGAACAGGGTGGATCTACTGAAATACACTGCTGAGGGGCACAGTGGGCAAGACAGAAGAGATCTGCTGCACCATGTGGGTTAGCTCCCTGGCTGGGGATTGAACTCATGCTGCAGTGGCTGCTGATAGCATCATATTGCTGAGACTTAACCCCGTGCGCCACCAGGGAAGCCCCTTCATAGTATGTTTTAATGTAATGAAAAGAATGCTGAACTTTGAAGTTAGTCATTATTGCTATGTTTCTTGTCCTTTCCTTCATTTTTGTGAGGGATGGGGAGGCAGGGAGAGAGAGACTTTTTAATTCCCATTTCCAGAGTACTTAAAAGCATTGATTGCTAAAGTAAAATTTGAAGTCACTTTAGATATTGTCAGAAGACCAACAAAACCAAGAGTTACTCAGGCTGTGTCTGGGAGTGGGAGAGGAAAGAAGGCTCAGGACTGAATTTGTTCAATATTGGCTACTAGACACACTGGATAAATAAGAAGGCCCATTTCTAATTTTCAATAGTCCTTTGTACTATGTCTAGCTCTTGTGGTATGGTAAGGTAAGTAATGAGTTATGCACCTACTTAATAGACGGGGACCTCTAGGGTGCTCCAGTCTGGATCAGATTCGGGTACTGAGGGACTTCGAGGGCAAGGCATCAGCTGAGAAGGGCATGACAAGAACTTATCTTATAAATCCTGTTCAAAACCTGTGCTAATTTTAATTTTCACTTCCTTTCGCCTTTTTTTACTTCTTTTTCAACTCCACTCATTCTTGTTTAGATAACCTTTATTATTACTTTTCCATCCTGCAACTATCAGTTTTCAGATTCTTTTTTTTTAAAAAAGATTTATTTATTTATGTATACAAGAGCTGGGGTACAGGCCAGAGATGTAGGGGCAGAAAGGACCCACCAGAGACAGAGTGGGGAACAGAACAGGCAGACTGAGATACACTGCTGAGGGGAGCAGTGGGCAAGACAGGAGAGGTCTGCCTCACCATGTGGGTTTCTCCCTGGCCGGCTGGGGACCGAACTCGTGCTGCAGAAGCTGTGGATTGCTTCATAGTGCAGTGCTTAACCCCTTGAGACACCAGGGAAGCCAGTTTTCAGGTTCTTAAGAGGTGAGTTGCTACTACCTTTTACTTTGCTTTCCCTTTTCCACATTCCTGGCAAAACATAATCACGAATGTAATTTTTATATAATTCATCGTATTTAAATAATATATTGGATTTCATTCAAATTCATTTATAACCTTTGCCTGAAATGCTCCCGGCCAACCCTCCATATCTGTGTAGGCATCTTCCTTCCTTCATATTTTTGCTCACATTTCACCAAGTTGGTAAGGCCCACCTGGAATGCTGCAGGTTGTTCACTCTCCACCCTCTCAACCTCTCCTTTTTTCTTCCGCATTTTCTTTTTTAACTTAGTACTTGTCATCTCTGAGATAATTATTTTACTTATTTTATTTTTTATTGTCTATTGTCTGATAGAATGTAAGCCTCATGGGACCAGCAGTCTGTTTTGTTCACTGTTGTATCCCAAGCACCTGAAACAGTACCTGTGACTTTTCCTGCACTCTGTAAATATTGGTTGAAGTCAGTAAGTGATAATATGGTTAGGGATTTGGGAAGGCTTCTGTTACTTGCTACATTTCATTTATATTGTTTTACTTTGTTGTTACCTGATCAGTAACATACTATTACCAAAAAAAAAAAAAAAAAAAACATCCAAGCAGAATCCCAAATAGTAAGGTCTGATATTTGCTTTGGACTGTATATAAGGTGGGGTGTCTTTATAGAGGAGATCATGAGTTATTCTTGTTGATTATTTAATAGGTGGAAAGAATAAGCAGTGGAGGACAGGGAACTAGAAATAGGACAGGGATTCTGTGTAGGCTTTTAGTATCTTAAAGGCATGACCTGAGGCCTGAGGCTTCCCATTTTCCTGTCCTAGGGCATCTGACTGGAAATTAGACCAGCCTGATTGGACTGGTCGCCTTCGAATCACATCAAAAGGGAAGATTGCTTATATCAAACTCGAGGATAAAGTTTCAGGTAATCTGTGTTGATGACCCTTTGACATGTTAAGGATATTGGTTTGGCATGCTTCTATAAGTATGGTATTTTTCAAGATGGGGACTGAAATGGAAGTACTTGTTAATTGAAGTTTTAAATCTTTGCTTCCTTTGCTCAAAGAATCCTTTTTCTTATCTGTCAGGGGAGCTCTTTGCTCAGGCCCCAGTAGAACAGTATCCTGGTATTGCGGTGGAGACAGTGACAGATTCCAGCCGCTACTTTGTAATCCGGATTCAGGATGGTACTGGTAAGGGATCTGGTGTTTTGAAGGGGATGAGATTAGGAAAATCATCAATGCACTTCGCTGAAAGTTTGTCCTGATTGCCTTTATTCCACTTCAGTTTACTAAATTTTTCCTCCCCTTATAAAGGAAAAGGAAGATCCTAAGAGAAAAGGATTAACATATTTGTAATAGATATGAACATTAATTAAAGAGATGTGAAAGTTAATAGATTATAAATAAGTCAAAATTCTGTCAAACAAAATAATGAACACATCTTGCTGCTGCATTGTAATGGTTTTTGATGGGGCTATCTTAAGTCATCTAAGAATATGGTGATAATTCCCTTTTTCATACCAGAGGTTGGCAAACTTTTTCTGTAAAGAAATAGACAGTATATATTTTAGGTTTTGTGGACCAAATGATGTCTTTGTAGCTACTCACTTCTGTTGGCATAGTGTGAACATAGTCCTAGATAATTTGTGGACAATTTACTATGATATGTGTTCCAGTAAAGCTTTATTTATGAAACAAACTCTGGCAGCATTGGGCCCATGGGCTGTCGATAGTGTGGGAACCCCTGGTATATGAGACAATGTTTTGTATCCACAGACTTTTTCTAGATGGGGTAGTTTTATATTTTCATTGGGCAGAATTTGTCATAGGGACATTTCCTGATCTAAGTTTTCCTCTTTTTCCTCAGGGCGTAGCGCTTTCATTGGCATTGGCTTCACGGATCGGGGTGATGCCTTCGACTTTAATGTGTCCTTGCAAGATCACTTCAAGTGAGTGAAGATTTTCTTTACTTACCAGGTTAAATGGTTTGAGGAATGCTGCTTCTCAGCTGAATGGGTATAATCGCTCTTACCTCCTGGTTTCTTTATTTGGTAAAATAGTTCATTTTGAATATAACACTGTCCATTCTATTTCCTTGCATTATCTTTGCATCTGTTCTACCTTATCCTTGTTTTAGATCCCTTGCACAATGGTTTGAGTTGATGCTTTTGTTTATGCCTCTGGGGATAAACCTTGGCTTTTAGCTGCTTCAGGAATGTATATAGTTATAGCATAGTTGTGTATGAGATGTGGGTAGCTGTGTGCAAATTTTGTTATTTCCTCTAGCTGGCATGCTTTGTGCCTATTGCAACATTTCTTCAGTCCCTGTGACTTTGGCACAACTGCAGTGGATAGCACCATGTACACTGTCAGCTGCCCACCTCAAGGGCAGGTGTACCTCTGCCTTTTCCTCAAGACTCCTGGAAATTGCAGACAGAATAATGGAAGGAATGAGAATTAACACCTCCTCAGTCCATCACTTAACCTGGTCAACCTCAACCAGGGCAGCTGTCAACCAGGGGGATGGGAATTGATGACTGAGTAACCTCCTTTGGAGGGACAAGTTTAATGCAAATTCTGTGGGTTTCACTGAGATATTGGCATCCCAATTGCCCTCTTTTTGACTTTTCTTCCATTTTTACTCTTCATATTCCCTCACTCTGCTTCCTGGAACCCTGTTCTGTATACATTAGAAATACTCAAATTTGTGTGTCAAACTCAGCTTTTAGGGACTCCCAAGTTAAGATAACTCACTCTTTCCCTGAAGGTGGGTAAAGCAGGAATCTGAGATTTCCAAGGAATCTCAGGAAATGGATACTCGCCCCAAGTTGGATTTGGGTTTCAAGGAAGGACAGACCATCAAGTTGAGTATTGGGGTGAGTATGGTTGCCCCCTCTCTGTATTTCCATGAACCTTTGACTTCTCTTTTTCTTTTTCTCACCTCCCTCATTTTTTTTTTCCTTTTATAGAATATTACAACTAAGAAAGGAGGTGCTTCTAAGCCCAAGACTTCAGGGACTGGGGGCCTAAGCTTACTCCCACCCCCACCTGGAGGCAAAATCACTATTCCCCCACCGTCCTCTTCAGTTGCCATCAGCAATCATGTCACCCCACCACCCATTCCGAAGTCTAACCATGGCGGTAGTGATGCAGGTAAATATCTAGTACTTTAACTTTTGAGAAATAATATCATGTTTTAATTGGGTAATACATTTTTGCTAAAAGGAGTGTTGATGGTTTTTTTATTAAATGCCACTTGGTACCAACAAGGTGATTCTGATAGCCTCTCGTAAGAGATCAAAGCTTTTCTGGTGAACTTAGAGCCATGATATCGGGTAGGTTCTTTGGCAAAAAATTGGGTGACGACAAAAAAGACTATTTCCTTGTTGGACCTTGGTTAGGTACATACTGGTCTAACAGTCAGATGGACCAAGATTTTGGTAACAGCTCTGTGAACATATATATATGAAAGCTTGGTAGCATTATTTAAGTTCTTTGAGTCGTGAGTATCCTTATCAGCACATGATGTAGAACTATCCCAGAATCGTGAAGGCTGAATGATGTGAGGATGCCTACACAGTACTGGAACATAGTAGTCATTCAGTAAATGTCATTTCTTAATCTTTTCAATTTCTTCACAAGGGCAGTTGGGAGGAAATGAGACACTGTGTAGGTTTGTAAATACACTTTTGTTCTTCCTTACTCCTTGGTTGACAAAAGAATAAATATAGGGCCTCCTCGGTGGCGCAAGGGGTTAAACACAGCACTGTGAAGCTATCCTAAACCTCTGCAGCATGAGTTTGATCCCCGGCCAGGGAGCTACCCACATGGCATAGCAGACCTCTCCTGACTCACCTGCTGCTCCCCTCAGCAGTGTATTTCAGTCAATATGCCTGTTCTGTTACCCACTCTGTCTCTGGTGAATCCTCTCACCCTGTACCTCTGACTTGTACTCCAGTTCTTGTATGCATAAATAAATAAATCTTTTTTTTAAAAAAGAATAGATATGGTTACTCTCACTTAAGGAGTGAAACCATTGGAACTTCGAAAGGAATTTTCCTAAGACTAGAGAAACCAGATTTTAGAATCTGGGAGTTTTAACCTACTGTATTAGATAATGCAGATCATTTATATAATTGACTGCTCAAAGTAAGCTTTCTGGAATTTGTGAAGTAAAAAATGGTTATGGCTTACTTATCTTCGCAAGTTTTCACCAAAAGGCATTGGGGGCACCTCCCTGGTGGCCAAGGGGTTAAATATCAGTGCTATCACCGCGACAGCCTAAGTTTGATCCCCTGTCACAGTGCTAACCATATAGGGCACAGCAGACCTCTCCTGTCTTGCCAGCTGCTCCCCTCAGCAGTGTATTTCAGTAGATCTACCTGTTTGGCTCCCCACTCTGTCTCTGGTCAATCCACTTACCCGTCCTGTACCTCTGGCCTACACACCAGTTCTTCTATGCATAAATAAATAAAAAGAAATCTTTAAAAAAATTAAAAAAAAAGATACTTGGGTTAATACTTAAGATTTATTTTTTTAAAATGAACTTTTTATTTTGAGAAAGTTGGTAGATTCACATGCACTTGTAAAAGAATAGTACAAAGAAATCCTGTGTATGCTGTACTCAGTTTTTCTCAGTGGTAACATTTTGCAAAACTAGTTGAATTTCATAACCAGGAAATTGATGTTGATGCCACCTACCCCCAGCCCCCACTTAAGATTTCAGTAGTTTTACATGTTCTCATTTGTGTGTGTATGTGTTTAATTCTGTGCAGTTTTATGGTGTGTAGGTTAATGGGCTGCCACCATGGTGAGGGTACAGAAGAGTCTTCTGTAAAGGTTCCTCATGTCACCCTTTATAACAGTACCTTCTCCCATAACCCTTGGCAATCACTAGTCTTTTTTCCATCTCTGTAATTTTGTCATTTCTGGAGTTTTATATAAATAGAATTATCTAGTTTCTAAGCTTTTTCGTGTGGCTTTTTGCACCCAACATAATTCCTTTGAGATTCATTAAGTCTTTCCTAGTTATTGCTAAATAGCTCCAGGGGTATGGACGTCCACTGTGTGTCTCACCATCATTCATGGACAGACATCTGGGTAGTTTCTGGTTTTGGACTGTGATGAATAAAACTGCTCTGGATTTTTATGTGAACATAAATTTTCATCTTTCTAAGAATGAAAATTCTAAGATTTGTACCATATTTTTATTATGTTTCCTCTTTTTCTTCTCTTTATCTTCAGATATTCTTTTAGATTTGGATTCCCCTGCCCCTGTCACGACATCAGCACCAGCTCCAGTTTCTGCAAGCAATGACTTGTGGGGAGATTTCAGCACTGCATCCAGGTATGACCCAGTGAAACCAACATAGTCTCAGACAGGATATAGATGAAATGTACAGTCAAATGAAATCTGGGAAGGTGGGGCATTCGCAGGTCACGTAGAGTCATTGGCAGGAATTTTAGGTAAGAAAGTGTGAGTGTGGGGATTGTGGGAAAAGAAAACTGTCAGTAAAGTTTGAGTGGGACATTTTAGGCTGTGGTAAGTATAATCGCTATGAAGCATAGTTTCTGAAATTCTGGGTGGTGATTTCTTGCAAAGTATTAAGTAAAGGATGGAGTAGCTGTCCTAATTTTATGCATTCAGCTTTCTCTCTTTTTTCCTGTCTTGCAGCTCTGTTCCAAACCAGGCACCACAGCCATCCAACTGGGTCCAGTTCTGAACAGCATTGGCAGGATGTTATGGATAGACTTGAAGAATAAAATGATCCTGAGGGCACCAATCTGTGAGGGAAGTTAGAACCCTTCCCTGCCTAGAACCAAAATTACTGGACAATCTTTCTCATAGCTTCTCCATTGAGTTCAAGTTGGTTTATGCCACTCCCCTATCTTAATACTTGCTGTACTGGCAAGAAAATATCTCTTCTCTCCTGTTCACTGTGAGGACAGGAGAATAGTGGGTTTTTCATATTTGTGGCTAATGATTTAGGGCTCAAAAGGCCAGGGTCTCTTCAAAGGGGGAAATGACCACTGTCCTCTGTAAAATTTTTCTCCATCTTTGAACTTCGTAAACTTGTTTCAGAATCATCTCATGACCCTCGTGTGCCTCTTTGTGAAGCCCTATTTAGCAATTGCAGGGGAGACAAAAACCTTGAAACTTTCTTTTTTCACTAACCTAAGACTCTAAAAATGGACAGCCTGACCTCAATGTTTATAAATTCAGAATTTTGATAGGAATAGGTATGAGAAAGACCTGTGCTGGGTTTCTGCTGTGTGTCCTCCTTCAGGCTTATCCTGGTCAGTGAACATCCAGTGCTGGTGCAGCTCCATCGCCCTCTCGTGTGTTTACATGTTTCCTATGATAAGAGGGTTGTGTTGGGGGCACCCCCACTGTCCTTGTGTTTGTTAAATAGTGCAGCATCTCTGATCAGTGGTGTCTCTCAGATAAGGGAGGTTCAAGGAGCTGTGTTTTCCAAGTTATAATCTAGAGAAGCATTTACTTGCAGCTCCATCAAGCTGCTGTGTTTGAAGCACGGCATTGCTTTGTATTGGCCCCATTATTTGACCTGAAGTTGAAGGGTTGAGAGTTTTTAACCTCATCTGTAGAGCAGAGAGATTGAAAACACTTAACTCTTGTTCATACCCACATTGCCTTGCTGCCTGGGTATCTTTTCCCTTTCCATAAACATTTATTTTTCAGTCCGGTAGCTCTTAGTAGAAAGCTGCTAGTACATGTACTGTCTTCTGTGAAGGAGGCTGGAGAGGCGCAGCTTCAGCTCTGCTAGGTTTTGCCTGGTGACGGCTTTGATACCCATCACCCAGGGTGTCTCAGAAACGAGTTGCTCTCCCGTAACGTCCCTTCCCTTTGTGCCACCATTCCTTTTACAAAGCTGTGAAGAGTTCCTTTCTTAGATAAATGGACACTACCTATTCTGTTTGCTAATGGGCAGTTTGAAGGATGAAATGGAAGAATGTCATTTCTTCCCTTAGCACCTACTGAGAGGTGTACACTCTGGTGGAAGGGAGTCCTTATATTTAGTTTCAAAATACATATATATTCTGTCTCTGCTTTTCTTCTTGACTCTTTCTAACTTTGGGTCCATATTTTTTCATTGCCACCCCTTCCAGGCAGCTCTATTCTTACAGAGCCATGGCAGGATGTTATAAAATTCCACTAGAAAACACTAAAAAGAAACTATAGAATCACTAGTGACTAACTACTGGAAACCTATTTTCTCAATCTTCCTCCATGTTGTGTTCTTTGTATTCTCAAGATGATAATATATTATGTATTCGAATTGCTGGAACATTGAAGATGAAGTTTAAGATATATGTATATAAAGCATATGCTGTATTGGTGCAATAATGGTAATTAAAACTATGGAAAAAAGTAGTGTCTCTTTTAATTCGTCTATTTCATTACATATTTTATTAAATTAACCCACTATAAATGGGCTAGTAAGTAATAAAAGGACATTTATGCATATTTGCTGTTTTTCAAGAAATAGGGCCTTGAAGTTGAGGCTGGACTTTCGTGTTCATCATCCCAAACCCTCAGAGCACACCTTGTAGAGGTTGTTTATGGTCCTTCTCTGCTGCTGCAGTTTATTTCATTTGCTTTATATTACCTTCACTATTGAGACTACCTTTCACATCCTGAGGCTATAATCAGAGTAATTGAAGGAACTCAGTGTAAGAGAGAACTGTAGTCTGTGTTAAAAACTTAGGAAGGCAGAAGGATCTAGGAGCTCTCATTCAGTGATTGTCACAGAAGATGAATGTGAAGGGTGTGGATGCTTGCTATTTTTATTTGCAATGACACACGTTCTCTCTCTCTCAACTCTCATTAGCTCTTATTAACGCTTTTCCTTCCCAGGATAGCTTCCCCAACTATGTCCTTGTCATTTCTGAGGTTGTGAGTCACTGTATTGATAGAAGTATATCCTAAGCCTCAGGCTTTTGTTAGGAAAAAAATGTGGACTTTTTTTTTCAAGCTCCGCACCATCAAGTATATATACGTTAGTAACTGCCTTCACTGCTGTAGTCTGAATCTTTATCACTTCTCTCTTCATCCCTTCCGATAGTCTTGGTAGTTGTTTGCCTCTAGCTTAGTTTAATTCCACTTACATGTTGCCACTAGAATAATCTTCCTTAAACAAAACCTCCCCATGCCCTGCTTACCCCTGCTTACTGCCTTTAATGATTTTCATTTTGAAGTACTATTTCATCCTTAACTCTGTTTCCTCTTTCACTCAATGAGCATCAGCAAACTGGGGTACTGGTTACTCTTCAGATGCCACCAGCACCATAAGTACTGATGCTTGCTAAGCACCCTCTGTCTTGAATATCGTCCCTTCTAAACATACCTGTTGACATCCTTCCTATCCTGTAAAGCCACTCAAATAACAATTCACAAAAGGTTACCCATCCTTCCAGTCTGAAGGATGATGTCCCTTGTTTTGCTGTTGAAATTCTCTTCTCCACTATTGTATAAACTCTCTGAATATAAGGACCATGTCTGCACATGTCTCCTTTCTAGATATGCCTTAAGTACTTGTTGAATTAACAGTAACTTTAGTGAAGAGGGACTGGAAATCAGTTTAAGTGGGGTTTTTTTCCTTCCCTTACTCATTCTCATTAGGGTTGTCCCTAGCTTCATGGCATAGGTGTCTCTTTGTATGCTTTGTCAGAAGGTCTTATTTATATGCTTCAGAGTCAGACAATATTTGGACCAAGAAAGCAGTACTTTGGTACATAGACCCAATGGCCAGAGAAAAAGAAAACGATATCGTGTAGAAAACTATTGATCAATTTGGTAGCTTCCTGTCTCAATTATCATGACTGGCTAAGATTACATTGCACTTTATCTTACAGATTTTTCTCTAGCAATTTATGTTATTGTCTCAACTATACTTCAAAAAAATACATAAGGTTTTTGGTTATCGAACTCATCCATAAACATATTCTTGAGAAAGAAAGGAAAAAAATTTGTACTTACTTGCAAGTCCTTTATATCTGGGGTATGTATGGGCTTGTGATGGTTTCATGGTGATTTTATGGTCTGACATTTCTAACTTGTATTAGAATTGTCATTTTCAGTTCTCTGGAAAAATATCAAGATGTGAAGGTGGTATGTTTTTAAAAAGCTCTAGTACATTTGAATTACCAACATCAGTAAAAGAATTGCCCATTGTGACCTCATGTTCTGCCCTATTAATTTAAGGGTAGTGTAATTCCTTCAATTAAACATGCATTAAGACCCACTGGGTTTGTTTGCTTTTCAATATTTTCTTTTTCTTACTACATACACTCTGCCAGGGCATCTACAATAGGAAAATAATCAAGTTTTTCCTGTGAACGTTGCATCTGGCTGTATATCAGCATGGGGACACTAGAGGGCATGTTCCCTCCAGCAAGTCTAGCACAACTATAGGAATGCTATAGTTCAGACCTGGTGACAGGAGCATTTAAAAAAAAAGACATAAATAGATACTGTCAAGGGATATTTCATCTATGAAACCTAAGACTATACCTTAGCCAGAGTTTGCTGGGAATGTAGAAAAAAATTATTTTTTGTAGACAGAAAATGAATTACAGAATGATACTATCCTCACACATTAATACTTAAAATGGGGAATATACTTATTAATTTCAATGACCCCCTTTGCTTCCCAGCCCCACCAGTAATAGATGACTAATGGGCAGTGGAACAATGGTTAACAAAGTAGATTTGGGAGGAGACAGGTTGCCTTGGTACAAAATTTTGCTGTTACTTAGCAGCTTTTGGACAATGAACAAGTTATTTAACATTTTTGCCTCAATTTCCTCAAAATGAAGCTAGTACTACCACTTTTTAGGGTTATTGTGACAATACAATAAGTTAATGTTTTAAAGTACTTAGAACAGGGCCAGGCAGTAATAAATAACAAGAGATAATGAGTAATGGTAAGGATTTGAAGAAAAGAACCCTGTGCAATGTTGGGAATGTAAACTGGTACAGAGACTGAGGAAAATAGTATAGATGATCCTCCAAAAATTGAAAGTAGAATTACCATATGATCCAGCACTTCCGCTTCTGAAAAAATTTTTTTTTAAAGATTATTTATTTATTTATTTATTTATTTATTTATTTATTTATATATATAAGCACTGGGTACAGTCAGAAGTGTGGGAGGGTGAGAGAATTCACCAGAGCCAGAGCAGGGAACAGAACAGGCAGACTGACTGAACAGGCAGAACAGGCAGACTGCTGAGGGGAGCAGCGGGTGTGGCAGGAGAGGTCTGTCGAGCCATGTGGGACCCTCGCCTGCAAATGGGGATCAAACCGGTGCTGCAGAGGCTGTAGGCAGCTTAGCAGCCCAGTGCTCAACCACTGCACCACCAGGGGAGACCCCACTTCTGAAAATGTATCTGAGGGGTAAGTAAAAAGTGAAAACACCAACTTGGAGAGATCTCTACTCCCTCATCTCTATAACAGCATTATGTACAATAGCCAAGACATGGAAACAACCTCAGTGTCCATTGATGGATGGGTTGATGAAGATGCTGTGTGTCAATGGAAGATCATTCAGCCATTAAAAAATAAAAGAGAAAGTCCCACCATTTGTGAAAACATAGACTGACCTGGAGGGCATTAAGCTAAGTGAAACAAGTCAGACAAAGACAAATACTGTGTATTTCATTTATATGTAGAATTAAAAAACGAGAAAGGAAAAAACCATATTTAAAAATTTCAGATTTGTGGTTATAAGAGGAATTTTTGGTTTCTTGTTTTGCTTTTTGTATCTATACAAGATAATGGCTGCCAATTAAACTACTGTGGGATCACTTCACAGTATAAGTATCCATTATGCTAGATTCTTACACTTATACAAGAATGTATGGTAATAGTGTGTATGTGTATGATTCAGAGGTATAGGTTCATGCCTTTTCAGATGTATGTTCTCACATAATTTCCACCACCAAAGGACCCATAGTCCTTAATGTATGACAATTATATTTCAATAAAACTGGAAAACAAAACAAAATCAGTGCCAAGCACACGGGAAGCTCTGTGTTAGTGTTGACTGCTGTTATTCTGGTGTGCCACATAAAAATGTTTTGGTCATCAATGGACTTCATGTATGACAGTGGCCTGGATGTATAGTAAGTTTGTGTAAGTGCGCAGATGTTTGCACAATGATGACATTGCCTAATGACACAATTCTCATACCGTATCTTCATCATTGAGTGTCACTTGTCTCCACTACTATTTGAATAATTTTTCTAATTCTGGCTATCCAGATGAGGAATAAGATGGTAAGTATAAAGGCAAAATGATTGGTGTTCTTTCCTTTTTTTTTTTTTTAAAGATTTATTTATGCATACAAGAGCTGGGATACAGGTCAGAGGTGTGGGGGGTGAGAGGATTCACCAGAGACAGAGTGGGGAAGAGAACAGGCAGACTGACTGAATACACTGCTGAGAGGAGCAGCAGGCAAGTCAGGAGAGGTCTGCTGCTGCACTGTGTGGTTTGCTCCCTGGCAGGGGAATCGAACTCATGCTGCAGAGGCTGCCAATTTCTTCATAGGTTGTGTCGTAACCCCTTGCGCCACCAGGGAGGCCCCCGTTCTTTCCTTTTTTATTTATTAAATTTTTATTGAGAGATACTTGACATGTAGTGTTGTATAAGTACTGGCTGTGTTGATTTGATACATTCATATCCTTTAAGCTTCTTACATTATGATTACCACCATAGAGTTAGCTAACACTTCTATCATTTTACTAAATATAATACCCACTAGGTCCATCCTTTTTGTTGCAAATAGCAGGGTTTAATTTATTTTTTATAGCTGAGTAATATTCCAATTGTGTATGTATATCCCAAATTTATTCAACCATCTTTCAAGGGCACTTAGGTTGTTTCCTATTTTGGCTATTGTAAGTAATGAACAATTTTGGCCATTATAAATATTTACTCCACATACAGCAAATATGTGGGTGCATATATCTCTTTGAATTAGTGTTTTTGTGTTCTTTACGTAAATACCCAGAAGTGGGATAGCTGGATGGTATCGGATTTCTATTTTTAATTTTTTCAGTAGTTTCCATATGGCTTTGCATAATGGCTACACCAAATCACATTCCCACCAACAGTATCGAGTATACTTTCTCATCCTCTCCAACACTTGTTTCTTGTCTTTTGGATAATAACCACCCTTACAAGTCAGGTGATAGCTCATTGTAGTTATGAATGGTATTTCCCTCATAATTAGAGATGATGAACATCTTTATATGGACCCATTGGCGATGAAAATGGGGAAATGTATGTTTTTATTTTTTTTAAACAATTTAAAAAATTTATTTATTTATACAAGCACTGGGGTACAGGCCAGAGGCGCGGGAGGGTGAGAGAATTCACCAGAGACAGAGCAGGGAGCTGAACAGGTAGAATGACCGAAATACACTGCTGAGGGGAGCAGCAGAGCAAGGCAGGAAAGGTCTGCTGTGCCATGTGAATAGCTCCCTGGCCGACCGGGAATTGAACCTGCGGTGCAGAGGCTGCAGACAGATTCACAGCTCTGCGCTCAACCCACTGTGCCACCGGGGAGGCCTGGAAATGTCTGTTTTTAGTCAGGTCTTCTTGTTGAGGTTTATAAGCTCTTAATATATTTTGTATATTGAATCCTTGACATTTGCATGGTTTGCAAATGTCTCTCAATAGGATTCCTTTTCATTTTTTTTTCTTTAAACAAGTGATTATCAATTCATTAAAAAGGTTGACTTAAGCATTTGCAGTGACTTCAACCTCAACTCCTGGCTCAGTGCTGATGGCAGTAATGTGTTTAACAATCTCAGAAGGACAGTCCAAGTCAATGAGTCACTTGTGGATCCTCATCTGAAAATGATCCCAAGTCTTAGAACCTTCATCACATGGAGTTTCCCTTGTAGTGATTCTCAAGTCTTGGTAGGCATCTGAATTGGTCCTTTTACTTTGAGGTTCTTAGCCTTTGAGCCGCTCATCAAGTCAGCATGCAGCTTCTCCATAGATTTCACATTGCATCTTGTTCGAGTAATTCTAATTTGGTGAATTGCCACCTCTTGTTCCTCTTGTACCTTCCCAGTAGCTTTAAAAGTCAGAGTTGCGGAGCAGCTCCCTACTTGCTCCTGGGCGAGAGAGAACAGCGGTGAATCCAGAACAGGGGCTGAGAGATGACAGTCAGCCCGTCCTCCGTGGGAGGAATAAAAATACCTTTTCATTTTGATGCAAAATTTCATATGTTGCCGTTTTTCAATGTATTTTCTTTATTCAGAAATAGGTTACTTTTTTCACCTGTGTGTCTTTCTGGCACGCTTGCATTGTAGCATGCTCTCATGTAGACACCAGCCCCAAGTTGGGAGGTTTTCAGGGCTACCCTCACTTCTGATCAACTACCTATAAATTTGTGGGTTCCCATCACTCCTCAGGTTTGAAAACTCATTAGAAAAACTCACTGAACTCAGAAAAGTGCTATCGTACTTATTTTAGTAAAAAGATAAAAGTCAAAGCAGCCAAAGGAAGAGACAGATAGAGTGAATTCTGGGAGAGGCCCAAACATTGAAGGTTTCATTGTCTCCTTCCATATATATATAACAGACCCTAGAGAGTTCTCTCACTCCATCTGCCATGTGAGACAGTGTGAGAGATGCTCATTGATGAACTAGCAAAGGTGCCCTCACCGGACATGGACTCTGCTTGCACCTTGATTTTGGACTTCCCAGCCTCCAAGACGATGAGAAATATATGTTTGTTTAGCCACCCAATCTTTGATATTTTTGTTATAATAGCCCAAATGAAAAAATACAAAAGCATTGGGGTAGATTATATTATTGTTCTCAACTGTATATTTCTTCCTCTGTGAGCGGATTTTTTTTTAAAGATTTATTTATGCATCCAAGAGCTGGGGTATAGGCTGGAGGTGTTGGAAGTGGGGAAGTGAGAGGATTTGCCAGACAGAGTGGGGAGCAGAACAGGTGGATTGACTGAAATACACTGCTGAGCGGAGCAGCGGGCAAGACAGGAGAGGTCTGCTGTGCCATGTGGGTTAGCTGCCTGGCTGGGGATTGAACTCATGCAGTGGCTGCTGATAGCTTCATTGTGCTGAGACTTAACTCTTTGCACCACCAGGGAGGCCCTGTCAGAGGATTAATTTTGCTGCCGTTGACATGTCTCCTTGTAGGTCAAGTGTACCACTTCCCCGTCCCATTCATAGGTCTTCCAGATGGGATCAGTGTGGATCTGGTGTACACATTATCTGAATAGATTAAAATAAGGTTGCCTGATAAGTCATAGATGATGGACGTGAGCATGAATGAGTATAGGTCCAAGCTGGTTAGTTTACAAAGTATTAGTTTTCATGTGGATGCATACAAGTGCTTGAATTTTATTCTTGCTGGTAAGTTCAGATGATATAGTTCTCAAAAAGACTTCTGTAATTGCTTAGTTCCTCTTTTCCTTTCCTTCCTATTTGTTTCCCTGGCCCTTTGAGTTCCTACTTTTATCACATTTGCTAGAATGTGTTTAAGTCTATAATTCTCACTGTGCTGGTACTGGGGATTGGGCCACTGTTGAGGTTTTTAGTTCTCATGTGATGTGATCTCTCAGGTTTCCTGGCCCATCTTGGGTCTGTTCTCATCGAGTTGCGCGATAGGAAGTATAAGTTACCACCATATTTGATTTTCATTTTAAGAGGTTTTAAGAAAGGTGAAAAGGCTATTTTGAAGAGAGCAGAATCTTTCTTCTCAAAATGACTACAGAGATCACTTATGCTGAAGTGAAGTTCAAAAATGAATCCAACTCTTCAGGCCCTACATCAGAGCTTCCAGACCACATATCCAAGTTTCCTGAAGGTAAGGTTTTATGAGGGTCAGATTTAGTGATGAGATGGAAGAGGAAGAGATAATATTGTGAGCTAAGCATGGGTGCTGCTAGCTTCTGGTTCTCCTATGGGCCATGGTTGGGAAATCGAGGATTCTCAAAAGGTTGAGTTGCCTGAAGATAAGCAGTAAAGGGTTGTGGCTTTGTGCTAGAACAAAAGTGAGGCAGGAGAAATTCACCACAGTCCTGAGCTGAGAGTGTGCTGATATGCTGATGTGCTGAGAAGCTGTGGCCCCCGTGCCTTCTGAGGCCGAGTGAGACTGCAGTCAAGAGCTAAGTTCAGGTCTTGAAGCCTTCGGCCCAGAGGCAGGGGTTGTGGGTGAATAGTGGGCTTTTTTCCTTAATCAGCAGGAAGGGAAACAGTTTGGATGGAGAGTGTTGTGGATTTATTTGTTAGTATTGCACTGAAATGGAGGAAAAAAACATTGCAGATGAAAAATTAAGTCTTTCAAAGAAAATCCCTTACCTCTCAAGACAAAATGCTCTGTTATCACACAATCCATTGCCTACTTACCTCTGAGATGCATTCAACTAAAACTGGGAGCAGATGAAAGGAAATTTGGGTACCATGTATGATATCTCAGTTATGGGACAAAAGAGAAAAAAAAAGTCTTTTAGAATGTAAGAACCTATGAGTGGGGGTCTTGATTACTCGTATTTTCTAAAACATTTTTGTGGAGTTATGGAGAATACTCAGAAAAACTGTCTTTCTCCTAAATACCTTGTATGACTTTTTTTTTACATGTTGAAATGTATATTACAGAAAAAATTGAAAATATAGAGGTGCACACAAATTTATTCTTGCTATCTAAATATACTTTATATATTAGTGTACATATTTCCAGATATAAATATTCATAAACATGTATTTTTTCCTAAAAATCTGATTATATACATTGCTAAGGTCTCCCCCAGTTAGAAATATATCATTACTTTGAGAAAATTTTTTTTGTGGTACAACTGACATGTAACAATATATTAGCATCTGGTGTACAGTGTAATGATTTGATTATTGTATATTTGTAAAATGATTATCACAATAAGTCTAGTTAAATTTATCACCATACATAGTTCACAAAGAATGTTGTGCTTGTGATGAGGGTTTAAGATTTATTTACTTGGAAATGAATTTCAAGTATGCATAATATTTAATAACACTATAATCTATAGTGTAACTAACTATATTACCTTGCTGTACATTACATCTCCATGACTTACGCATTTTATGACTGGAATTTTTACCTTGTGACTCTTCACCCATTTGCTGAAACCCACCACAGGCAACTACCAATCTGTTCTCTGTATCTATGAAATTTTTTTTGTTATAATGGCTATTTATATAGTCCATATAAAAGTGATACCACATGGTGTTTGTCTTTTTCTGTCTGCATTATTTCACTTAGCATAGTGTCCTCAAGCTCTGTTCTTGTCACAAATGAGATGTTATTCTTTTTGAAAGCTGAATAATATTCCATTATTTGCATATGCACATTTTAAATTAATTATTAAATAGTTATTAACCACAAAAGGACTAAAATGGTCTGTTCTTAATTTAAAGATGTGCTAAGGGATCAGCATGACGATTTTTCTGCTTTGGCAGTATTTAAAATACTTAAAATTAGGAGCAATCTAGAAGACTATTGAAATATATAATGAAATACTACACAAACACAGTAAAGAAAATACAGTGCTATGAAAAATGTTCATGATCAGTGTATTAAAAAATAGTATGCCAGGGGTCTCCCTGGTGGCATAAGGGGTTAAGTCTCAGCACAATGAAGCTATTGGCAGCCACTGCAGCACAAGTTTGATCCCTGGCCAGGGAGCTAACCCACATGGCACGGCAGACCTCTCCTGTCTCACCTGCTGCTCTCCTCAGCAGTGTACTTCAGCAGATCTGCCTGTTTTGCTCCCCACTCTATCGCTGGTAAATCTTCTCACCCCCGGCACCTCTGGCCTATACCCCAGCTCTTATATACATAAATAAAATAAATCTTTAAAAAAACAGTATGTCAGAAGCACAGTATATATGGTGTGTCAATCATATATATATACACACATATATACATATACATTAAAAGTTGCTAGAAGGATGTATATCAAAATATTAGTAACTGTTATCCTCAGTGGTAGGAATTTGTACTTTTATGTGCTTTGCAAAGTTTCTGCAATAAACATTATTATTTTCTTCCTATTTTTATTTTATTTCAAATGTCATATTAGAAATAGTATGTCATCTAAAAAGAGAGAGAAGAGGAAGCGAAGAAGGAAGAGCAAGGAAAGTTCAGAATTCATTACTGATGAAACTAATTTGATTTCTCCTTCAGCTCCTCCCACAAAGATGACCAGACCTCTCAATAGTAACCCTATCAATAGTAACCCCGGTATTATCAAGCTGCTTGTTGCCGCTTTGCTGATATTTATATTATTGGCGATCTCATTTTTGATTGCCTTAATTGGTAAGTATCCAGTTGAGTCTACTAAGGATGTCGACCCTGTATGAAGAGATGGCATCCAATAGGTACTGACATTTGCCAATGGGTTTACCAGGAATTTGGGGAAAAGTCTTTCTAGAGGAAAATAGACTTAGTATTATTCCATTAGAAATTATTTTCTTTATTTGAATTTATTCTTGCTCTTTTGTAAAAGTTGCTCTTCCATAAAATATAAGAGAGTACTGATCTATAGGGAAATTGAAGAGTGTTTGTGAATGCAAGTGTTTTTGTTATAGAGTGAAAGCAATAGGTTACCATTTCTCTACTTGCCTGTCGTGTGAGGAGAAACCGCTTTCTTTAGCAATGCTTGTTAGGCCAGGTCTTTTAGAGTGCAGTGGGACATATTTTGGGATACGCAGATAGACAAGAAAGAGATGGGAAGAAATATTCCAGGAAGAGTTTCTCTTTGGATTTTCATCTTAATTATTTCTGTCCTGTTCAAGACAGTATGAGATCTAAAAGTCAATTTGCAAATAGTAAGATTTCTGTACATTTTTGTCTTTAAGAATTTATCAGATTTCTAAAAGGTATAAAAACCAGCACATATTTGGGTAAATATTTTACTCATTCATTTGGTCACTCAGTTAGCAATGATGGCCATCTACTTTATGTCTACACTATGCTAGTGCTAGACAGACAGAGGCCATAGCTCTTGGTCTCAAAAAGTTCAGAGAACTGTGGTAACTGTGAAATGAACCAGTGATTATAACATTGTATGGTAGCAATCAGCACAGTGAGATGCACAGGAAACAGAGACAGGCTTCCAGAGGAGGTGAGAACAGCAGCTCGATATCAAAAATGACTCAGAAATGTGAGAGAGCATGGAAACATTGGAGGAAGCATAAATATAAATGACTGAAATATGAACTGCTAAGTTAAGTATGAAAAATGAAGTAGTAGGAACAAGCAAGCCTCGTCTCAGGAAGGAACTGAGTAGAGTTCTAAGGCATTTAATTTCCCCCCTGAAGATTATTGTATCCATTTTCTTCTTAATAAATCAATCTAAAACCTAATGAATTAAAGAAACTATTTGGCTCATAACTTGGTGGTTTGATAGGAAGTTGAGACTGGGCTCAGCTGGAAGGTTCTTTTGATCCTGGCTAAAATTATTCATGCAAAAAACAGTCAGGCAACTCATCTTCTGAGGAAGATGTGAGCTGGAATTTGGTCACATTTTCTCTTCGTAATTCATCAGACTAATCTGAGCTTGCTTAAATGATGACTTTCAACATAGTGGCCTTCCAGAGTGAATGGAACTGAGTAAAGTCCTTTGAGATCTTACCTTGAAACCAGCTAGCATTGCTTCTGCACACTCTATTTGCCTAAGTCTTAAAACTAGTCCGATTCACATGATCAGGATTACATCTTACGTATTTAAAAATGAGAGGTCATCTTGCAAAGGAGTATGGATACAGGAATAGGTGAAAATTGTCATTTTTGCAATGTACCATGCTCATGTAAAGGCATTGAAGAATTTAAAATATGGATGTGACATAATAAAATTTGACTACTACAAGTGTGCTTTTGGAGAGGTGTGTAAAATGGATATATCAGTACAAAACTGGAAGCTAAGAAAACAGTCAGTTCATTATGAATTGAAAAAACCTTGCTACCTTATTTAATGCTAGTAGTAGGAGAGAAAGAGAAGAAGGGATAGCTTTGAATGCTAATGACAAGTTAGAATCAAGGAGTCGAGGCTGATGACTATTTTGACCAAGAAGAAGAGACCAAGAGAAATAAAATGAGGCTTCACTATTCTGACTTGGTAAACTCAGAAGTCATGAAATCACTCAAAGAAGTAGACAGAATAGGATGCATTATAGCTTTGGGATGTAGATTTAAATTTGGGGAAATTAAATGTTGAGTTTTATATAACTCAACCTCAAGTGACATGCACAGTGTGAGACATTTGTCTGGATTTCAAGAGAGAGGTTCAAATTTTAGAAGATGTTGACATGTAGGTAGTAGTTGAAACCATGGGGACATATAATATCACTCAGGGAGAGGATTTAGTATGAGAAAGAAGGTACTTATAGAATTCTAAGGAATGTTACACTTTAAAAAATGTTATCTTTTTTAAACTGATGCCATTCTCAGTAACATGGATGGAGCTAGAAGAAATTATGCTCAGTGAAATAAGTCAGAAGGAAAAAAGAAAATATCTGATGGTTTCACTTATAGGAGGAATATAGGGGAACCAAATAAGACATCGGGGAAAAATAATAACAATACAAAACACAATAAAACAAAACAAAAACAAACAGACAATTATAAGTCAGAGACATCCTGCAGGGGAGGAAGTGGGAGAGGGATCAGAGGGAGGGAGGGAGGAGCACAGGGGACTGAGGTGATGGTGTACAGGTGTATTGGTGAAGGAAATTCTATGGGGACTATACCTGAGGGGGTGGGGGAAGCAAACATTGTTTAAAAATGAACAATAATGTAAAAAAATACAAAAAAAATAAAATTTTTAAAAATCTTTTTAAAGCTTATGAAGATGTATATGGAGAAACAGCAAGAAAGGTGAGGCAAAAACAGGAAAGAGTAGTGTCCCAAGAGTTAAGGGTGAGAACTTGTCTCAAGAACTGCAGGAAGTCAAAGAGGAAGAAACTTAACAAGAGACCCTAGGCTGTTACTGATGACCCATTGCAAAAGGGAGTTAGTGAGGTGATGGAAAAAGGAAGCAGAAGCCAGTGTGTGGTGATCAAGGATCAAATGGGAGGTGAGGAGGAAAGAGAAAAAAATCACATTCTAGAATAGAGGGAGAGAAGTTAGTTTTAAATTGTGAGAGATGAGTATTTTGGGGTGCTGAGGTTTAAGAGAATTGGGGAGGATAGAGGAGACAGGAGAAGAACAGTGCCCTTCCCTCCTGATCGTGCTAGAATTGTTTGATACTCACTCTACAAGGGAAGCTAGAGCTCCCCCAAATTAACTCAATTTTCTCCCAAAGGCTCTCTCTTTGTACATTCCCAGAGAGAAGTGTTGAAACATTTTCTCTCCATTCCCCCTCCTCCAGGTTTAGCATCTGTACACATCATACATTTAGTATTCAGGGGGAAGATGAGTAAGTTCCTTTAGCCCCATTATTAAGGAACTGTGTAATATCCTCTTTCAGCTTCTAATCTTCAGCTATTTCTGGAGAAATCTACTGTCTCAAACTCAGGTGTATTAGAATATGTGTATGTGTGGAGGTGGGAACTCTTTTCCATAGGCAGGATCCTCCTACTCAAGTAAATGGGCATTTGTAGTATTTATTCTATTAAAAAATGAAGGAAGTAACTATACAGAGCATAGTCATAACACTACCTGGAAAATGAATGGTGTTATTCTATTTTTCAGTTGTCTCTCAAGAGCATTTTAGAGCATCTTCTGAGCTTGAAGAGATTTCAAGAAAAATTAAGGAAGAATCTAATAGAGGTAAAAATTAATGGGACTGTACTTCATTTTGGACTATACTGTACAAGGATCCCTGGTATTTCCAGTAAAATTCATGGATAGATCATGCTAAGAAGTTGAGTTGCATGAGAATTTTCAGCTTTTACAAAATTAATTCATTAAATATATTTTTTTACATCATTTTTCATTTTTGTACAATGTATGCATTTTCATCTTGGTTATAGTCCCTGTAAAATTCCCACCACCCTTGTTTTGATCCTACTCCCTTCTTCCCCCTGTAGTGTGTCTTTAGTGTATAGTTACTGGTTGATTTTGATTTTTCTTCGTTATAATTAGTCTTTTTCCTGATCCCTTATTTAGGTTTTCTAAAATCCTGCTATGAGTGAGACCATCCAGTATTTTTCTTATTTTTTCTGGCTTATTTCACTGAGCATAATCCCTTCCAGCTCCTTCCATGTTGCTGCAAATGGCATTAGTTTATCTTTTTTGATTGCTGAGTAATATTCCATGGTGTATATGTGCCACATCTTCTTGATCCAGTCATTTATTTTTGGGCATTTGGATTGTTTCCATAGCTTGCCTATTGTAAATAGTGCTTCAATAAACATAGGGGTGCAGGTATCCTTTTGAATTAATGTTTTTCTGTCCTTTTGGGTTGATTCCCAGGAGTGGGATTGCTGGATCATATGGAAGCTCTATTTTTAACAAATTGAGGAATCTCCACACAGCTTTCCATAGTGGTTGGACCAGTTTGCACTCCCACCAGCAGTGCAGGAGAGAATTTTCAGCTTTGAGTGTACAAATACATAGGATCTAAAATTCTCATATGCCTATCTTTAATATCATTGGAAGGAAATATCTTAATTTGTGAAAAAAGGTTGCATTCCTTCTGGATCTCTCAGGCTTTCTTTCTGAATGTTCAGTGTTCACTTGCTCTCTTTCTCACTTTGTTCTACTTTACTGTTGGGAGCTCACTTCCTTGCTTGCTGTGCCCCTCTGACTTACTCCCAAGAATTTGGGGGGGGGGATTGATTTATATTTGGGTACTTCCTACTTTTGGGACTACAGTATGCTCAAGGCTTTTTTTGGTATATTTTCTATTACTGCTTTAAAAATCAGCAATTTTGGGCTTCCCTTGTGTCCTAGGCTTTAAGTCTCAGTGCTATCACCACACATGGCATGAGTTTGCTCCCCTGCCAGGGAGCTAATGGACATATGGCGCAGCAGATCTCTCTCCTGTCTCGCCACTGCTTCTATCAGCAGTGTGTTTCAGTAGCTCTGCCTGTTCTGCTTCCCATTCTGTCTCTGGTGAATCCACTCACTCACCGCACCTATGGCCTACACCCCTGTTCTTCTACATACCCCAAAAAAAGTTAAAAAAAAATCACCAATGGGCCTCCCCTGGTGGCGCAGCGGTTGAGCGCTGGGCTGCAAGGCTGCCCGCAGCCTCTGCAGCCCCAGTTCATTCCCCAGCTGCCGGCGAGGGACCCACACACAAAAAAAAAAATCATCAGTTTCTAGATTCTGACCATACACCTTTCACAGCAATTAATTTAAAATGAGTCATAGACCTAAATATATAATGCAAACCTAAGCAACTTTAGGAAGAAACTTTGAAGAATTATAGGTGAATTGGTTTTGGCAATGAGTTTTTTTTTATTTTAAAAGATTTATTTATGCATACAACAGCTGGGGTACAGGCCAGAGATGTGGGGAGAACGAGGATTCACCAGAGACAGAGTGGGGAACAGAACAGGCAGACTGACTGAAATACACTGCTGAAGGGAGCAGCGGGCAAGACAGGGGAGGTCTGCCTCGCCATGTGGGTATCTCCCTGGCTGCCGGGGATTGAACTCATTCTTCAGAGGCTGGGGATTGCTTCATAGTGCGGTGCTTAACCCCTTGCACCACCAGGAAGGCCGTGAGTTTTTATATGCTAACTGGAGCACAATTATTAAAAAGATATCAGCACGGTGGACTTTATTAAAATTAAAACTCTGTTGTGTTTCTTCTTACGTGTACATGAGATGTTCTTGAGGATAGAGAGGGCACAAAACAAGTCTCAGTAAATTTAAGAATCAAATCATACCAAATAGCTTGCAATCTGTAATTGTATGAAACTAGAAATTGTCATAACATGAAAAAAGCTGGTAAGTGTATAAGTATGTGGAAACTACACAAAACACTCTTTTTCTACCTTTTGGGGTTTTAATGGAACAATTTTTATGATTCTATTTCCATTTCAATCTTAACTTATTTGTTATACTTCTTTTTAGTGGTTGCCCTAAATTGGCAGTATAGATTTATGTCTGTTCCAAGCCCACTTTCAAATAATGATACAGTTTCATGTGTAGTGAGAATATTTTAAAATAACAAAATAATTCTAATTCCTCCTTCTGTCTCTTGTATCTATCAACAATTTATTTACTTATATTTATATGAATAATTGAATATATTGTTGCTGTTATTATTTTTGAGCCAAGAGCTCTCCGTTAGGTCAATTAAGAATATGAACACTGTAAGTTTTTATTATACCTAACAGAAGGTCTCCTTGGCACTTTATTTTCATAATACACGCACTTTAAGATTACTTGTCTCATGTTGAGCTTATTCTGTCAATGAAGGGAGTCACAGGAACTGCAGCTGCTGCCCAAAGCACTGGAAGGCATTTGGTTCAAGCTGCTACTTCATTTCTGTTGAAGAGAAAACTTGGCCTGAGAGTGAGAAGAACTGCTCCGCGATGCAGGCTCACCTGTTGGTGGTCACCACCAAGGAGGAGCAGGTGCTTTCTTTAGAGAGTGGACAGGGGTCCTGCAAGGTGTTTGTGGACTTCAGCTGATTAAGGAGCAGGTTTTCAGTGTTTGGTATATTGGGGTACAGTGGGGGCTTTCTAAAAAAAAGGTGGGAAAGAATAACTAATCTGTTTCCCTCCACACCTTCTTCTACTTCCATACAATTAACCTCCCCCAATAAATTGGGGTGATGGGATTGAGTGATAAGATGAAACTATTTCAGCCTGAAATGTCAGTTTATTATTTCAACATATAAATGTTTGCAAATTAACTTTTTAAGAGAAAAAAGTTTTTAGTGAAATAAGGAAGAAGTTCAGTCCTGAGGAATCACAATTAAAAATCAAATGACATTAAAGAATCTGAAATTATGAAAGGAAAATGATTTAATCAACAAAATGTTTTACATGTATGAGTTTGAAGACAGCTATCTCTTAGTGAAAAAAATGAGAGGAAGTGAGTGTGAGATGAGAATGCATTGTGAGTATGGAAGAAATCACTTCCATATAAATTGATAAATTGATCATAATTATATTCTGTGCATTTGTGTCCCTACTAATTTATCTGTAGAAATCCTAAACTCAAAATGTACTGCTATTAGGTGATGTTAAGTCATGATAGTGGGGCCCTCATGAGCCAGGAAGCAGGTGACCTTCACCTAGCCATGCTAGTACCCTGGGGCTTCTTATCTCAGGAGTATGAGAAATGAACTTCTTTATGAGCTACTGAAGCTATTATAGTAGCTTGAACTGATTAAGACCAACGTCATTCTCACAAGTGATGTCTTGGCCTGCACTGCTCAGCCAGAGAAGACCTAGACTCCTGGGTAGGGTCCCACGTGGCTCTTCCTGCATCCCCTCCTTTTCTTCTCTTCTCCCTGAGGCCACAAGCTCACTCCAGCCTGAGTCCTCTCAATATAATAGCACCTTTCTTTTCTCCCTTCAGAATTTCATCATCCAGAGCTTGGATACAAAATCTGAATATTACATTGGGCTACATGATAGGACATCAAATACATATGGGAGAAGACACTGGAATTGGGTTGATCAGACACCATACAATGAAAGTGCCACGTGAGTATGGAATTAGATACGGGAATCCTGAGTCCTGGCATGCAGGGCCTTTAGGGTGCAAAACACTCAGATTAAAATCAAACAGTTTACTCTTCTTTTATCTTTGGGTAGTAGGTTAAACAATAATTTTTTATTGCTATGATCATCACAAGGACTCTGAGAGGCACATGTTATTATTTTTCTCCCTGTAGAACTTAGGAATGGGAGCTCAGAGAATGCAGAAATCTTAGTCAAAGTTTTCTAGCCAAAGCAACAAATGGTTCTCAAACCCAGGTCCTTTTGATGCCAGAGTTGGTGCTTTTAGTTATTATATTGATGTCTCTCAATATAACAGAAATTCATGTCCATTATGTTTGTAACCAGTTATTAAGATTTAAAATCTCTCACAAAGAAGATAAAGCTAAATTCTAGTAGTCTTAAATATCTATATATTCTATTGAAACTCTTAATTTGTACATTTAGACATTGCATCCTTTGATTCATGCATCTCTGTCTGAAGTTCATAGGGATACCACACTAGTCTCTATTTTTAAAGTGTGGCAGCAGGCATAGTAGTAGATTTGGAGTTTTAAATTAGTTCTTCAGACCCTGCAAAGCCACATGAAAAAAAAAAGATAAAACAAAAGTAAGTCCTCATTCATTGTCAGGAATATGTCCTTGACAGTGCCACTTATTGGAAACATGTCAAGAAGCCAATTTGACCACAGGATAATTGATACAAATAAGAGTGAGCTGTCTCAATATTTCTGATCATGAAACATCATTGAATTTCAAAATAAAGACCCAGAACACTCCCAATATTACATAATTGTTTTTATTCATCCATCCATTTATTTTCCATCCCACTTGTTCCAGTCCAGGGTGCAGGTGACTGAGCCATTCCTGGCAGCTCAGAGCACAAGGAGGAAAACAACCCTGGGCAGGAGGCCCTTCCACCTAGGAGTGTGTGCGCACATGTCCCATACCCTCCTCAGCCCCCACTCCCTCCACCCACTCCCTCAGATGGGACAACACCCTTGAGGGGGTGGGAGGACACCAGAGCACCTCATGCCAATCCACACAGATAGAAGGAAAACATGTAAACTCCACATAGACCGTGGCTCAGTTAGGATTTCCCATTTTTCATTACCAATATTTTAATGAAATGATGGTTTGGAGGACAGGCTGTGTGGTACTTGGGATCAGGAGAAACGTTTTTTCATTAATGGAGCATGTAGATTTTTCCGTGTCCCAGAAACAGGACATACGATGGAGAGAGAGAGAAGGAGCCTCTGGGACATGTAAGGGGAGGATGCGTAATGCAGTGAAATGACACAGTCCTGGGGGATGTGGGCTCAGTTTTCAAGGGAAATACCAGCGAGACACAGATAGAGGAAGCTGCATGGGGAGCAGGGAGGAAGGCTTTGGCATGTCTGACCTTGACCTCCACACAGCTCAATGGCATCCTCTGCTTCACTGTCGGTTTTCAAGCACAGTGTGAAGAAACATACTGGTCCTTTTTCTCTCTTTCAGGTTCTGGGACTCAGGTGAACCCAATACTGACAATGAGCGCTGTGTTGTGCTACATTTTCATACAAAAACAAATAAATGGGGCTGGAATGATGTGATTTGTGATCAACGTCACAAGTCAATTTGCAAGATGACAAAGATCTACTTCTCAGCGTAACAGTCTCCATGAGCATGTGGTTGAACTGGCACCCACTGCACAGAGAGAGCTAATCTGTTATTGTTCTGTTATCTGTTATTGTGTGTGTCCTGTAGAAGAGATTTCCATCGAATTTTTCTGTCACCTGTCCCATTTGTGATAGATTCGGTGTGCACATTTGTCATTTATTCATAAAGAAGATGAATATTTATTGAGAATTTTCCATGTGCAGAGCCTAACTGGAGAAGCCTCACTGTAGACTGAAAGTTCCAGAGAGTTACTGATAAAGAGTCTCAAGGCCACATGCCTGACTCATACGACCCAGATAAACTCTTAGAAGTCTCCTGCTTCTGTATCTCAACTGGCTTTAAAGTGATAATGTAATGCCCTCCCCCACCCCTCCTGCTTTAGACAATAAATCTCCAGTTGCCTAAATGCTCAGAGCTCAGACTTTGGAGAAGGATCTCCTCTGAGCCCACTGGAGTTAATAAAAGAACTTCCTTTTCCTCTCTGAGTGACGCCTGCTTCCCGATGGAATTCTGCAATAACACCAGGACCCCCAAACTTGTACATTCTTCCTGCCATCTACTGCATAAAAGCATGTTACTGCACATAATCATACTCTTAGTGTGCAAGATCTTTAATAGCTTTGTGGCGCACAGAGAGAGAAGAAAGGATAATAAAACTCACCCAAATACCCAGTTACCCTTCTCTTAGTGGCAAATGCTCAGCCCAAGGCAGGACTGCTGAGGCCTGAAAGCTTGCCACAAGTCTAAGTGGGGTTGAGGGGAACCAAAGAAAAGGGAAAAGAGGGCCAAGCAAGTTGGGGGCAGAAGGAGCAAAATCAAATAACAAATCATGGCGCCACCTGGCATTGTCAGCCTCCCCACGGGTCTTTCACCCACATCTATCTTCCAAGTATCTCTGCAGGTCTCTCCTCCCATGTCCCCCACATGCCAGGTGCAAGTCCAAAGCGGAGAAGCAAACCCACCCACTTCACATGTCTCTGTTCCAGGATTTCGTCTTGTGTCTCCTCCTGAGCCCTCTGCCCTCTGTGCCATACAGCTCTGCCCCTCAGAAGGTGGAGCAGGGAACATGGAAGCTCCCTTTTTATGGAGATGCTTCTGTTTTAACAGCTTCTGGTTCACATTCTTTAAATTGGTCCTTCTCACTCCATGTCTGAGGTCTGGATTCAGCTAGACCTTCTGCTTGGGGGTCAGTGCTACACATATGCAGTTATAACTTTGGAGGAAATACAGTGTCCAGGGAGATTATATACTATAAATAGGATCATTCTTTTTTTTTAAAAAAGATATATTTATTTATGCATACAAGAACTGGGGTACAGGCCAGAGATGTGGGGGGAGGTGGCAGATGAGAGGATTCACCAGAGACAGAGTGGGGAACAGAACAGGCAGACTTAAATACACTGCTGAGGGGAGTAGCAGGGGAGACAGGAGAGGTCTGCTGCGCCATGTGCGTAGCTCCCTGGCTGGCCGGGGATTGAACTCGTGCAGCAGAGGTTTCAGATTGCTTCATAGTGTGGTGCTTAACCCCTTGTGCCACCAGGGTGGCCCAGGATAATTCTTAATGCTTTGAGTAAGTTCAGAGCCAGGGTTCTGAGTACCTGGTCCAATTGAAGTACAGTCCTTGCTAAGGGAGTCACCCCTTTGAGCCAAACTTCTTACTCAGTGATCTTATGGAACTGTGCTTCAACTTCTCTAGAAGTGTTAACCCAGGTAGCCATGTGGTGTCCATTATAGCATAGACACCTCCTTGCTTAGCTAATAGAGTATCAAGGTCTAGAACAACCTTGATTGGAGAGTCTAGATATATCTGTGAGGCAGCCATTGTTTTCACAGCAGATTCTACAACATCTTCAAGTGCTAGGGACAGACAGCAGCTATGGAGACCTGTTCAGGTTAAGGTTTTGTAACTTTCACAGGCAGTTTTCTTTTTGTGTGTAAAACTGGGAATGTAAGTTTTTTCCCATTTAGGGTTGTCAGCCAGAGATAGGCAAATGGACCCCCAGGGTTAGGAGTTTTCAGAGGTTAGTTTTCAGAGAACCAGGGCACTGGAAGAATTTGTGATAAACAGATCTACAGAATGAACATAGTGGCAAACCCAAAGGTCTGGGAGGTTACCTCCCTCTGGAAATGGCCTGAACAATGTGGATGGATGAGGGGTTATCATGCCAGGCCTGTGCCCAAGTGAAGGAAAGAAAGAGGAAAAGAAAAGCAGTTTATATACCAAGTCTTGATCTGGAGTCTTGGGTGGACACTGTCTACATAGATGTCAGCTCTCTTCCTCCCGTCAGCTGGTTGACAAGGCTCCACTGTGTGTGTCTGTTAGGTGGGATATGTGTCCAAGTTCAAGTCTCTGAAACTTAGCTGCTATCTGGGTGGTGAGGAGCACCTGGTATTATCCCTTCCAAGGAGATTCAGGGACAACCAATCTCTGTTCCAGTCATTGCAATCAGGAGAGAGCAAGAAAACTGGAAACATTCATTTGGAGAGTTAGTTGTAGCCAGATATTTGAGGAACTGAAAGAATTCAGCATCCAGTTATGAGATTTTACTTCTAGTATCTGTAGAGGCAGGAAGGGATGGAGCAGGATTTCTATGACCCGAGCAGATGAGATATGGAAGAGTCCTGTAGCCAATGGTGGCTTTTTCAGGCTTTTATTGGGATTTACTAAGTACCCGGCAGGCAGGAGTGCCGCGGGGCCTGTCAGATGTCAGGCCTCCCAGCCCCCAGCAAATCTTCACTCTTTCTGGGTTCTCCGGCGTTCTTTTGTGGCCTTGTTCTCTTTTTTCTGCTACTCTGGCTTCTCTTTCGCTCTGCTGTTTCTTCTGCTGTTCTGCCGTTACTTTTCCCTCTGCTCTTTTCGAGCTTTCATTCTGCTGGCATCCCCATGACACCGCCTTATAAGCCCAGTCTCAGCCGAGGTGTACCCACCTACATATGCCCACACCCTATTCCAGGTGCCCGCCATCAGGCATGCATTCAGGACTGCAGGGTTCCGTCATCTATCCTAATGGCGGGTTGGACAGAAAAGCCTAATATTTTTTTTTACCTTACCCTACAGCATCTATACAAAGAGAATCCTTTTCTTGCCATGATCAAGAGAATACTCACTAAGTTTCCCAAGTTCTGTGGGGATTAGGTAGAGAGAAAAAGAAAATGTTTCATCATTGTCAACACATGTATAACTTTACCAAGTTGCTGTAAGTGATACATAGCTTTAGACAAAAGATCCTCCTAAGGTCAGTTCATTTTTATGATCTAAAAGTCAGAAATCTGTATTTGTAGGGTAAATACAAGTATCAGGCTTTTCTGCCCTCCTGCCATTGGGATTGATGATGGATCCCTGTGGTCCTGAATGCATGCCTGATGGCAGCAGCCTGGAGAGGGGTGTGGGCATGCGTAGGTGGGTACACCTGGGCTAAGATGGGGCTTATAAGGGTGGCGTCCCAGGGACGCCAGCAAACAGCAGACCAGAAGAGGAGAGAAGAGCGAAAGAAAGAGAGAGGGAAAGGAGCAGAGATTCAAAGGCCACGAGAGAACATTGGAGAGCCCAGAGAGAGTGAAGACTTGCTGGAGGTGGGGAGGCTGCTAAGCCTCGCAGCCCCCTGCCTGCCATATGCCTGGTAAACCCAATAAAAGCCTGCAAAAGCCACTGAGGGCTCCAGGACTCCTCCTCTACCCGTCTGCTCCGATCATAGAGATCCTGCTCCGTCTCTTCCCGCCGCTACAGTATTCTAGAGAGATTGTCAAAGTCCTGCCCGTGATTCTCCGTGGAGGTCAAGCTCTCTAGCAGACCAGAACGAACCGTGCCCCTCAGAAATGGTGAGAAATCCAGAGAGCCCAAAAAAGCTAGTGGGCACCATCCCGTTTCCTTGAAACTGAAACGCTGCTGGGTGTTTGCCTGGATCTCAAAGCTGCCAAACTGTTAAAATCAACATCTACAAAGTTAGAGATGTAATGGATGTCATTAAGTTTTTCACAAGTCAGGGTGCATCTGGCTAGCAGGCAGTGAGGTGCAGTCCAGAGAGCCCTTCTGGAGACACTTGGAGGGACGCACGATCCTTCTATTTTTTGTCTGATGGCCGGGAGGTCAGGTAATGATGTAATTATACTATGTAGTTCCTCCATCTGTCTGGATTTTCTCTTTGTGGGCTGATCAAAAGCAAAATATTCCCCACCACTACTTTTCACATCTCTCAGAGTTTTACTCCTTGTAACTGAAAGCTGAACAGTTCGGATTCTCTTCCTCCATGGAAGAGAAGTTCAGTTTGTCCCACAAGGGTCTTTGGGCATCTCAACATTTTCTCTTAGGTCTTGGCTAGTCATTTGACACCATTGCACTGGCAGAAGGAAACCAGAGACAGAAATGTAGAGATTGAGAATTAGAGAATTAGAAGATGAAGTTAACACTGGTTGGTTGACAGGGATTTGCTTTCATCAGGTGTTCTGGTAATTTTTGATGAAAGTGGATCTTAACAGCCTTCATTAGCTTTAGGAAAATGTCCTTAAGGTAAAAGAAAAGACTGCTACCCGCAGAACTATTTAAAGAAAGTGCGTTTATGTGTCGTGTTACTTGGCAGATGTATTGGCATCCACACATAAGACATCTTAGAATTTTTGGCTGTATTTGTCTTTATAGTTGCTACTGAAAACAAACAACGGTAGACAATAACTCTACAACATCAGGCTCTTTGTTCAAGCTGCCACTTAGTAAATGGAAGAGGAGCAGAAGCTCTGTGATTGTCCAGTTCTGAGGAAAATGCTTCTTCCTGAGAGGAAATACATGATCACTAGGATGATTTGACTCCCACCCCCTAAATGGGAGGACAATGGAGAAGGGGAAACTGCTGATCCAAATCACCATTCTCCCCAGGTCTGGGGTGAGATGAGTTAGAAGGCTTTGAGGCCGGTGTGTTTCAAGTTACCCACATACTGGGTGAGGAGTAAGTCACACATGTGCTTTTCCATTACACACCTGTAGAGAGCACGTCCTATTACACATTAAGTCTCCACCCTGGGCATATAATGAAGCAATGGTAGC